TCCTTCACTGTTAAAGAAAAGTAAATCCTCCAATAATCCAATTTCCCAAAGACAAAATTTTCCTGCATGGAAAGTGAGTGAGGTCATTGTGAGAGTCGTGCCAAAAAAGTAATATTTGGGGGGTAAACAGCTAATTACGGTGGCTGAGAAAGGCGTTATTAGAACTCCTGCAGGGGAAATGTTTTGCAAACTTCCAGATCGTGGGCTGAGCAGGGAGGCTGAAATAAAGCGAGTTTTCATAATTCAGTGGCACCTGCCTCATAACACGGGGAGGGTTTTTCTGGTCAGGGAAGGGGCCGATAGAGTTACAGCCTGCTGCCCTCCAACAGCACTGAAAGTATTCCAGGTTGGGAGAGCTCTTTGTAAAAGACAATAATCCATTTGTTTCTGATTTGAGCCGTATTTGTGAAAGTTTATATTCCTGTTTATACCTACAGGTGCTCAGCAAGCATTCCTGTGTGGTAGCCAGTGCAGCTTTATTAATTAGACTCACATTTCTCCAGTAAAAGCACGGGCTTGTATTATTTTACAGCTGTGCCTTGTGCAAAGACATGCAGCTCTGCCTTCTTTTCGTCTTCCTCCCTCAGCAGCTGAAGGAGCAGGAGGTTGGAAATGCTGAAGCCCGGGAGGGAGGCTGGGAAGGCAAGGCAGGGAGAGCGCACAAGTTCTCCTGCCGATGTACGGATGGATCCTGAGGGTTCTCAGGGGACTGCTGGCAGGCAGAGCAAACCTCTGCCCTTGCTCTCATGTTAGGTAAGAGAAGTTGTAGTGGCCAAAATGGTGCAGGGACGAGCTCGGTGAAAAGGCCTTGTTGAAATTACTCAATTAAAATTATCACCAGAGTCCGGAAGGGGGGAAATTGGCTAAGTTTACACCAGCAACTTGGCTAGGCGGTGCTTGGAACTGTTTCGGTGTGGAAGGTGTTTGCGTGGGGATGCCTGGGCAGGCAAAGCTGAGCTGCTGCAGTGGACGCCTTCAGCACGCACCAAAGACCCTCCTCGGGCTGCGCCAGCGCGGTGGGATAAGAGGGGCCGGGTCAGGCGGTGGCGGTTCCCAGGTTTGCCCTGGGCTCAGCCGTGATGCTCGAAGGCTGAGGGGCCCCTCCCTGGTGGACTCGCGCGTGGGGGTGAGGAGGTGGGTTCTGGCTGCCGTAGGGGCTGCGGGGGGTGAGCTGCCCCGGGGTGAGCGGGGCGGCTGTTGTGCTGGGACTCGATGCACCCGCCATCAGGCTTGAGAGGGGTGGCAGAGCCCGGCGCGGCGCCAAGGCCGTCGGCTTCAACCTGGTGGCACCGCACGCGTCCACCCGAGTTAACTGAAGTCGTACCTGTGATGACGTGCTCCCCTGGGGTGCTCTGATTTAACACTGAGGTGGTTCTCCTCGTTAGGAAGGCGTACGGGCATAGGGAGTCTGGGGCGAGGGAGAACAAATGCCAGGCCAGGTTAGTGCACAAACAAATGGGGGCATGTGCAAAGCCTAAGCCCCTGCCCAGAGACCAGGCTGCTGCTCAGGCGCAAACATGGGCCAGGCTTACTAAGGCTGGATGTTTTATTACACCGTCATCTCATGACATAGTAATAAGACTTTTTTGAGGCCAAAACTTAGAAAATAATTGGCAAACAAGTAAAACATACAGAACAAAGGACATGATTCTTAAAAATAATCTTCAATTAAAATGGGGAATTCCAGCCAAGTCCCGCAGTGGCTGGTTAATTTTACCAGTTGCCATGGCACGGTGCAGCAGTGCTTCCTGCCGCTTTCAAGGTTGTCTCTTCTATGAAGTTTTTATATAGCAAGGACCGATTTTTAGGGGCGTTGGGGGGGGGGTGAGATTGATTACTCTGTCTTGACAGCTAACTTGGGTTTTTCTGTGAAAGCTCTTTCTTTAAACATGGTGAGAGGGTTAGCACTGCAGTTGGTGCATTTAATTACTTGAGCTGAAAATAATCATGCCTCGTAAGTCGTTGGGTCCAAATGCTGGATTTTTGTTGTTTTTACTTAATATAATCAGGTTTTGTCATCACTGCTTTTATTTAAAAATGGGGCAGGGGAGAGCCAGACCCCAAGTGCTTCCTTCCCCTTCCCGTGTGCTGATGGACTGGCTCCGTGCCCCCCACTGCGGCGGGAAGGACAAGGTCACCCGGGAGGAGCACCAGGCAAGCGAGAGCCCCGCCGGGCGGCCAGGGGCTGGTCCGCACCCCTCAATTTGTCTAATC